AAAGCAAGTTATAATTAGGTCCCTGTTCAAGAAAACTTTTCCTGCACTAAAAAACTCTTGAGATGGGGCTGAAGTTGAATTGTTCCCTTTTTGGGAAAAGTTATTGAGAAGGTGATGATGAAAACTCCAAACCTGAATCCCTTCACAGTCTCAGTAGATCTCAGCAGGACATGGAGATTTTACTTATTTCTATGGTTTACACTCTCCTTATGGTGAAAGACAGAGATCAGGTGTCCATTAGATCTTTCAGCAGCCTCTTACACATTTAGTTTATTTATCAAAAAGGTATTGTGTAAGGAGAAATCTAACTGTCTGATTAAAAATTTCCATTTTCTTGGTATCCATTGTAACCCAAACATTGTTTGGGACTAATTATTATAAAATTATACAAAAATATTTTATAAAGGCATTTTAACATGATAGAATGTGATTGTACAGGAACTTTCACTTATAATGGCTGAAGGTACTTGGCCTCAGGCCTCTATACAAATATAGAACATTGTACCCACAACTCACTGGGAGTTACTGCATATGTATTGACGTACACATACTAAAATACAACATTTAAACACTAACTTCTATACACCTACTTATTTCATGAAAGTACTTCAAAAAACCTTATTTCTTTAACTGACATTTACATTGTTCCCTCCCACCTGCTTCATTTGCTAATGATTTACATTTTTTGGAGGGGGACACAGAGCGGGAGACAAATAGGAAAAATGTTAGGTTTATTAAGCCATTTCACTATGTTATTGTCATTGTAGGCTATAAAGAATTTCCTAGCATCATCAAAGCTCCAGAGAGAGCAATGAATGTTGCTTTACACTGATGTCAAGTGCAAGATCCTCAGGGTCGGGTAGGAGTCAGAATGAAAAGCATGTGAGCCAGTAAGAAAGGGGGAAAATTATACCTCTTCATCACGATGTGTTTAATGTTTTATGTTTTAAAATTCTGTGCATTGATGCCTATTTAGGAAGTGTAAATCTGTATAAATCTATGATGAATATCTGGAAATTTTGAAATTTTATTAATAAACTCAGCCATACAATATATTACAGATGGGGGAAAAGGCGCATCATATTTTCAATTTTTAGACTAATAAAACTACATTTGCCCTGATAGGCAGAGCTCTTGGCGCTGTTTTGTTTGAAGTTTTTTCTTGTTCTTTTTTTATTTAAAAAACAAATATTTTGAAATGCATTTTATTGCAAATGCCAAAGGGAACAGGTTAAAAAATAATCATTGCTCTTTAAAGTAATACTGTGTTTTAAAACAGAACACATACGTATCTCACTTATCTACAAACAACTATACAGAGAAAGAATGTGGTTACTTCTCACAAGTAACATTAAAAATTCAGTTCGACCCTTCTCTTTCCTTGGACTCTGGATTCTAAAATGACATACTACAAGATAAAATAGTAATGCTAATATTGATAGTTTATCCATTACAGGTCAGCTAACTGTCCACTGGAACAGTTACAAAGCTGTTAGTTTCGATTTCACAAGGCCAATCAATACAGAGGCATACTGTTTCAATTTTGCCTGCATTGATTTTTTTTTTATAACACCCCAACCTTACAGCATTCATCTTTTTGAAAGAAGGAAGATTTGATTTACTGAAGAAAAATTGGAGAGAGCATCACAAAGATTTTTACCAGCAAGCCTGTGACACAGAAAAAAGATGAATGTCTCTAAGGCAGAGACGCCTCTTGCTTGAGGGCATCCATTAGAACACATTCAACCAATCTGAAACAGAGTTTCTTAAGCAACCGAAACCTGAGCCTAAACTCAGTCTCCTAAACTAATCAAAAGCATTCAGAGATCTTGATATACAGAGGTTCTCTTAAAAATTCCTAAACCTTATTGCTTCTAAAATAATTTATGTCTGCAGTTCTACCTTTGCATTTTTCTGAGAAGAGTACCACCCTTTTCCCCTCTAATACCAAGAATGAATTTCCATGGTACATTAGTCAGCCTATTAGAATGCAATGAAGGACGATATGAGAAAAGGGTAGTATGTCCTCTGAGACTTTCATCCAGTGTTCTCCATCATCTCTCCTCATCCTTCTTATATTCAGCCACTTTACCAGGTGTCATCTACATGAAAGATGATTTGTCTCCTGACCCAAATAAACACAATGCCTGCTCTATGCACCAGAAAAAAATTACTTCTGCCACTCTGTTCATTTGTGTCCTCTTTCCTGCTTATTCCACCATTCTTATCAGGCTTTCTCAGTTTTCACCTGAGCCTCACTCCAGGTGACAGTAATGTATGGATGAACAGGTACTTGTCTGTCCCATTATTTCCTGAAATCTCTAAGCATTTGAAAAAATGCAATGACAGTAAAGGGCACAGAGATATCAGAGCTCTGTGAAAGGAATGCTTTCTTTGCATGCCACAGCAATAGCCAGGACTTCAAATCCAGTGGAGGAAAAAGAGCTTGCTTACTCTCTCTCATGTGGCAAAAGCTGGTACAATCTGGATATTAAGACACAAATTGCATTCAGGCAGGTCACTATGTGTCAAAAGATATTAGATGCCTGCTGTGAGGAAACAACAATTCACATCTGCTTCTGAGAAAATAATATTTTCATTTTCAGTTTTTATTGAATGGAAACTTTAGGGAATATGTCTGTATAAAGGGTATTAAGTCTAGCAAGTATAACATGTTCAAAATGGCTATAATCATCATTGTGTTATCCATAAAGCAGCAGATTTCATTTGGTCTCTTTAGATGGGATAAATTGGATTCTTTTTTCCCCGGCTTGCAGTTTTGTTGCAGTACCAGATGTTTCTCAAATGCCACATGCTGGGGCTCCTATACCGAATGTAGCACCTGACCTTCTCTATAATTGACTAAAAATATTGATGTAATGGCATGAGTCTGATTGTGATTTATTAAAACCACTGCCGATCCCAGGCCAGCTGCCAGCACTGCAGCCCACTGATCGTAGGGCATTAGAAAAGCCATCAATATTGAAACAAAATAAATGACATTAATGGGAAAGTATTAGGCCTTCAGAGCCATGGCTACAAGCAATTATATGGATTCCAAAGGAGGATGAAAAACAAAATACCACAAACCAAATATTTAAAAAGTACTACTAAGATTGAATTTACATGACAAAAATGTAGTACAATTCTTTAAGGGAAAGTAAAATATTAATGTAACCCCTTTAATACAGCTTTTGCTTAGGATGACAATCGTGTGCCTTTTTTTTTTTTTTTTTTAAAAACAGGTTTATGGTGGGTAAATGCATTCTGGCTTCCCGATAAAGATTTTTTTTCCTCTCTAATGCCATTTAAGTTTCCTAGAATTATGTTAAGTGTACTGCAAAGTGCATTATGTGATATTTCCATTTCACTGTAGATCATTATTTATTATAAAATAGAAATAATCATGTCCATATTTTCTACACTACATAATTTACAAGCTGATTAACCAAACCTTGTATGAAGAAAATCAGAGAATAGTTAACCCACTTTCTGTGTGCACTACATTTTATCAATTACAGCTCAACCTATCTCGCTATACCAGTACTATCATGATAAGCAAAACACATCTAAATGGCAAAGAGTTCTTCATACTCCTTATTTAAAAGCCATTAAGGACAGAAACTGTTTTAAGCTAAGGAACACAAACAACTGAACAAAACACTAATGGCGCACACTCTGAAAATTGAAGAGCCACTGATGTATGAAGTGCTAGACAAAGTTGTTTGAAGAGACACTGTTACAATCTTAAAATACTATGTTCATAGAAAGCGATTAACTAACCAACCGTTGTCGGAAATGTTTAAGTGTGTAATTATTTTGTATTTTCTTGCAGAGTATTTTCATAAAGGCTTTCCATATTTAACACAGTTTGAGCACCACATTTTGGGTTTGTGGCTCAACTGTAATTCTAATATGCTATAATAAAAACCTCAATATTAATAGTACTTAATAGCTAATATCCATCAAAACGTATTATGAAATGAGAAATTGTTGAACATGATAAAATTGTTTTTAATACAAAAGAGCTAATTGAGATTATTGGCAAAAATAATATATTAAATTTTTCACTCACATTTCCTACCTCCACCTTTCATTGCATACAAATGACAGCATTTCAAGAAGCAAATGGACTCAGCATCGTATGTTCTAGCCAAGACACATTCAGTTTATTTTTTAAGTCCTAATCAGATATGCAGTTCTAGGATTTGAACTTTCATTTTAAATATTCAGCTGAAACTATCAGCTTGACTTGAGCAGAAACAATTAAACAAGTGTCAATGTAATTACTATTCCATATTCCGTAGAATTTCCCAAATGAAAGCAATGTAATTTTCATTTGGTTGTGTTTTGCTCTAATGTATGAGTAGACAATGCAACATAATAAAAAAACATTTTCCTCTTTCCTGGAGACAAGGGGGGTGCAATGTTACCTCTCTTCATAAATTTCCATTGGTCAGGTGTTAAATATTCCATTCCACGCTTCAGTAACAGAAAATATTTTAGGGAATATTTATTCATGTATTTCCTGTTTTTTTAAAATAAATGATGCAGTTATACTGGAATTTGAAAAAAATTTGGAGCTCTACATAGTGATGAGGTTTAAATCCAACTGGGGAAGAATTTTTTTCTATATTGTTGTTGCTTTCGCATATATGTTGCACTGATTCTCTACATTCAGGAAAGCAAAATGTATTTTTACCATTTCAGATAAGCCTCAGTAATGGTATTTAGAACAGTCACTAAACTACAAATATTGCTTTGTGAGTAAACAAGACTGTTGAAAAAAGAAAAATGGATTAAGCCCCAATTGTAGATAACATATTGCTGAAGTAAAGTTCTCTGTGTCTTCCAAAATTTCTCTTTAAATATATATTATTTTACAATAAACAAAATTGTAATATGACAGTTTTCCATTACGTTTGACCTCATCTGAAGACATAATCCAAATCATCCCATCATATCTGAACAAAAGCCAAATCTTAAAGATCTATCTTTACCTCGATGCAGAATTTCCCCAGGCTCCATGCTTGTCTGTCAGAATGTTGATAATTTTCTGTATGAGTTGGGATGCAGTCACATGATCTCGGAACTTGGCTGCTCTTATCAAATGATCACACATCTTTTCATCCTCTCGTTTATCTGCAGAATACTGGGCACACAGCGACTAAGAAAAATAAATAAATACTTTAATACTTTGCACTTCAAAACCTTCCAACCAAGACTCTTGAAGTACTTTACGAACAACTAATCAGTTTTACTAAGCCTTCAGAAATAAGAATTATCCCCATTTTACAGATGTGCAAACTTGAGGGACACAGTAGTTATCTATGGTTACAGTACATCTATAGCAGAGCTAAATACAGAACTCAGATTAGTTATGTATTTTAGCCACTACACCATGTTCCCTCAAGATTTTTTTAAAACATTACTAACCTGACAAGACAGTAGAACATGTCAGAATAACCGATTCTATCACACTGCAAGAGTATAGATTTTATAGTTCCAGTCTCAAAGGGGAGATCTTCAAAGACACAGATTGCAGTTAGACATGCAACTTGCATTAAAAGTGAATGGGGGTTGGGCACCTAACGGCTATATGTATCTTTGAAGATCCTTCCCCTAAATAAAATCAAAACCTTATATATGCTATTTGGATAGTACATTACATATAGTTTTCTTGCTGGAAGTTTCAAAGAGGAAAAACACTGAATGGATATGAAGACTGAAGTAGCTTTTCACTAGCCAGAAGGCTGTGATACATTAGCAGGCCAGTGTGGGAAAACGAACACTTTAACTTTACATACAACAACTGTTGGTAAAAATATTTCATTTTTCAAGGCTGTCAAAACGTAACACCATTAACAAAGACTAATTACATAAAAACAAAATGGTGAAAAACTAAAAACATAAAAACTAAAAACTCCGCTTTCCTGGGTGATTATTTTCTTTATTTTCCTGTTAATGTGGTGTCATGAAAGTCCCCCACCCCCAACTTTAAGACTTCCTGTTCCTCAGATTTCAATCTGGCAGTTCTACACATTGCATATGCTAGGTAGACAAAGCACTTCAGCCTCTGTAAATGATTGGATTATTCTATGATCTAGTTAGTAGAAAGGACAAATGTTTATCCAAACAAACAAGAAAAATATCCTTTTTTTTTTCAGGGGGAGAGCAACCAGTGCAGACTTTAGAACAATTCTTCCAAGCATAGGTATCAAGATATTAAAAACAAACAAAACCTATACAAGTAAAACATTAAGTAGTTATGCCTTATGACACATATGAAGTAAAGTACTTTTTAATCAGTCACTCTCTTTAATTGCAGCAATTATGCAGAAAATGACTAAAATACATCCAATATGGATTTTCATAGACACTTACATTATATAAACCAGTGGTTAACAAGCATTTAATTTTACAGACACCCTTAAATGGTAAAAAAGTAAGAATAGGCTGATTACAAATTCACTTGTAAATTCTCCATCTAGATTTTGCCTTTCACCTGTTCCCCAACTCTCCTATGACTGTTACAATGCTCACCTGATGAACAGAAATCCAGAAAGTGTGAACCGTAAGCAGTAGAATTTCAGTTCAATTAAACATCAGGAATAGTCTTTTGTACGCCTAAACCCAGCATCCCGCCATCGCCTCCCCACCAAAAAAAATAAGTTGGCTAAGTTATGACCGCCTCTAAACAAGATTTTTATAGCTCCTTTTAAACACTGCTGTCTTTTCCAGTATATTAACCTATCCTGCACCCATGACAATTTTGAATTCTCTTCACCAGCACTTAGTAAATGTTTGATAAGCTGTTATATATAAGTTGCTTGAAAGGGCAGAATTCTAAGAACAAGTGTCCAAGGTAAGCTAAGTAGTAAAGTGTTTTAAAGTGCTCTTTAATGGATCCTCCTTTACAATTTGAACAGCAACTTTTCATATCTGACATAAAATCCATATATATAAATCACATTAGAGGGTTACTCTTTCCAGATTATCAATCTCTGTCTCTTTATGGAACATTAAAGTCACATTTGACCTTAAAAACATGATAAAATGGAAATCAAACTAGAACGTTTTGTAAAAGATATAATGAACTTGTACCTCTAAAAAAAAAATCTCTTTCTGATGCAATTTTGAACACATTCTTTATTAAATACCAATAATGAATTTCAGTGTGTGGACATGACATTCAAAAGAAGGGTGAGACCAGTGGCATTTCCTCCAACTACAACTTGCATGTACATAGGACAAAATAGCATTAGTTTGTCACTAGCTTAAAACGAATAAGATCTCTCTTTCAGCAAACCAACATGATGACTCTTTTAAAATTAATTATTAAAAGTTTACTATTTCCCCCATAACCTGTTTGAAAATTGACAGGCTTTAAAATGCAGAAATATCATAATTACAACATCACACCATGCAGGAATCTTAATTGCAACAAGCTCATTAACATATTACGTTATTACAATAAGACGCAGAAGCTGTTGCAGCTCTCTCAGATGTTTGGCACCTGCTCATGCATAGTTGTTAACATCTGAAAAGTTTTGTCAGGGAAAATTCTCCAAATAAACCGAAGATTAGTGGGGCTGTCGGGTCCTTAGCTGCCAGATTAGGGTGCACATTCTAGTGTTTGTTCGGTAATTTTAGTTTTAGAAATGTCATGGAGAGGAGTGGGAGGAGAGGGAGAACAAAGAAAAACAAAATGTCATCAGAATATACATTAATTCTCCATTGGCCTCTGAAATCTTACATGAAAAATTATCCTTGGGAAAAGCATTGATCCTTCCTACCATGGTTCCTCCTTCTCCTCATGGCTTTCCACACCCCTATTTCCCCAAACTTTCATAGCTACCTTCTCCCTCACTACCTACCACCCTGTAACTGATTTCTCTCTTTGCTCATGTGCAGGTTTACTCTCTCAGCTGTTCAGTGGCCACAGTCCCTCAGTGCCTGCCAAATGCCTCTATCCCTTATTAATCTAAGCAAAGTTCTACAGAAGCAGCTTTAAGACAGTAGAGCAGAGAGCTGACTCCATGCATGAAACACAGGCAGACAGCAGGGTGGGAGCTGGGAGAGATGCTTAGTTTTTAGAAAAAGCCTCTTCCACTACCATGCAGCCCAGGGACAGCAGCCAGGACTACAGTTACAGATATATTTTCAAAACCTGGTAGTATCCTGGCTAAAATGACTATTGGCAAGTATCTACACTCAATGTCAGGGTCTGAGTTTGGAGCAGCCTGATGTGTTGCACAGTCTGGTAAAAACAGCTCAACACTTCAAATCTCAGTCTTGATTTAAGCCACATCCCAATTCCAAGTATCTTTCTCCTGATAGTTATGTGGTATGCCAATTCCCCCCCCCCCCCCCCCAGCTCTTAGTGGCCCCAACAGTGCTACAAGATTATAAAATCCCCTAAAAGTAATAAGTCTCACATCCCAATCTTGGCTAGAAGGGGAAAAGAGAAGATGTCAGGGAGGGTAAAATACACATCAAGTATTACTTATCCAATCTTCTCTATGTTCATTTTGATGTTAGCCCTGGTCTTGTATTATTCCTGGATGCTTTCTTCTTTACACTCAATTCTTAGATGACTTGCAGGAAACCGGTGAAATAAAAATATCTAATCCTGAATCTGTTCCTTATTGAATAAATGCATTTAAAAGATAGAAGATTAATCTCAATACAGTACTAAAACTATGGGTTTTTTTCCCCTAGTTTGGTACTAATTTATATCTTTATTTACTCTCCATTCTTCAAAGTAACTGCAAAAGTGGCAGTAGCTTTCTTTTTGTTCTAGAGACGAGTCTCTGTTACAGGCCAATTACAATTATCCCCCATAATTAGGCTTCTGACTAGAGTTCTCTCCACCACTATGCAGCCCAAATCGGAGCAAAACTTCCCAACAATTCCACCAGAAGCAGTTTGTCCCACCAAAGTAGGACAAGTAAATCAGTAAAGTACAAGTAAATCAGTTTTAAGTTTTGCTTCTAACCAATTTTCACTGAGGTAGATGCTACATAATTTCTACTGCTATTTAGAGAGTTTAAGAATAGGAAGAAGTAGCAAAGAGTATATGACTGACATTTTCTGAGGCCAATCTGTGAAGTGTAACAGTTGTGTCATCTGCAATGGTTTAAGACTTAGGAATTGGCTAAGGAAATGATTCACTTGGTGCTGTTTCAAAGTTTGGGTTAGTTTTGAATTTTGAATGAAAGACTGTGCATCTGGAAAATACATTGAAACTGGCAGATGTCAATCTTCAGATTAAATTTCATATTATCCTGCACATTGTACCACAGAAAAAAATCTGAACAAGAATCTACATGGCCTATAAGTAAATGACCGTATTTTCATGTGGAACATTAGGATTGGAACTTCACTGGAATCATTTGGATCATGGAGGGTGCATTTTCTAAGGTCTAGATGTCAGCATCCAAAGATGAGGGAAACTGATGCTATAGTGAAAAGGGTGGAGAGGTCTGACCAAGCCACTTATTGAGACTGTAAATGCAGCAAACAAACTCCTCAATGCAGGCTTGCACCATCAGTTTAACTCAAGTGAGTTTTATTTTTCCAATACAAATTTCTTTACTTTCATAAAAGGACAAGGAGTCTGGGAGTCAGCTACCAGATTATTAGTGTACACAATAAAATTGAAGGGTTGCAATGCCTGTTAGAAGGAAGACAGTATTAACCTAATTATCTAAAGGACACATGCTCAAGTATGTCATGCCTTCTGAGACCCAATGAAATTGCCATTGTGGTGGTAGAGGAATAGTACTAAGTACCTCTCCTCTTATTCCCATTCATTTTGCAACTGGGATATGGAGAATTGATCTATCAGGGATATGAGTGGTTTAGAAGAACTGCCAGGTTACAACATGAACCATGTGTAGATCACATGCCAATATCAATATTTGACAAATTATTTTATGTACATATACCAATACAGTTAAAATTCAATTACCTGAACCCCTCCTAACCAAAACTATAGGTTGCCTGAAGATCAACTACATCAAAGATTTGAAATCAGAGGTTCATGAACAATGCATATTTTGTTTTTATATTAACCAGCATATTTTGCAAATGTTCATCTTGAGTAAGCTGGTTAAAGATTTTGTTTGCATGTAACCTTTTCTACGGTTCTACAAATTATTACAC